TACCAGAAAAGCTGGCCTATTTAGGTGAAATGTCTGAGTCAGTAACGATTGAGGTTCTATCAACGGATTTGAAACATACACGAGTTTCCACTGGCACAGTCCGGTATTCCAAACTCCTTGTAATACACATATTCGGTATTCGCATCTGAGCTGCTCCATACACTCCATCCGGCTGAGTTTATGACGGCTGAGAGGGCAGAATTTTGAAAAACGACCCTCGAATAATCACGCCAGGTCTTCCTAGGTACTGTGTACCAGCAGTAACAGTATATCCAGACGCTGCAGCGACGGTGCTAGATCATTCAAAAATTGGTCAATGTCTATAAAAATCAACCAAACACCGGAACAATTGTTTTTATACCATTTGTTAAAAACGTAGTATGATACGTTACTCTCCGAATCACGGCCATTGGCTGTTACCCAACATTGGCTTTAACACGAATATCGACACCGTCAAACCAAGCCCTTTGTCGTTGACCGAAGATAAAGTCGCTGAATTTAAATTATGAGTTAGTAAGCTCCCACTTAAAACTTCAGAGGCATGCTATATATGAGAACTCACGTTGCACCGTCTATGTAACTTTTGGCGTAGACCGCAAACCCTTCATTTGCAAGAACGGTATCTGAAAGTTTGTGAGGTTAGTTGTGAGTATTCAAGCGATAAACTTCTCAGAAGCGATATGTAGTTACTCGCCTTGGTAGCCTGTCAACTTTACCCCATAGAAACCTTGCTGGTCGCCCTGGGAGCTCAATGCAACAGCCTGCGATCCCTTTCCTATTGATCAATGTTTAGCAGTGATAGGTATAAACTTCGTCAACCTCAATACACACCTCTTTGTTGGCAATGTTGATATTATAGATCTTCAACCCAACCGCAAAGGCACGGATTGTAGCTGTGGCGTCATTATTGGCCGAGTCGTCCTGACTCTTCCCCTGGGTAATAGTCACAGTGTTCGATGTATATGAAGTTGTATCAGTTGTTTCTCCGTATATCGTAAGTTGTGCAGCTCGAGCCGGAATGTAGACTTGTTCTGCATATGTTCCAGCATAAATGAAGATACACTGAGCTGCCGAGGAAGTCGTGGACAATGAACTAACAGCCGATTGAAGCTATAAAACGTATTTTCTGGTCAAACTCATTTCAACGCTGACATTGGGGGCATGAGTGGTCTGGGATATTGTAAGGCACGTACTGTAGAGTATTGACCTGAAGTAGCGCTAGGTGAGACGGACTATACAACCAGTGGGCGGTGAGTTCTTGATGCAGCAAGTACTAACTGGGCGAACGCTAGAAAGGCAATCTGTGAAACATCATTTTCGGCAGCTTGTTTTTATCTTCTGTGCTTAATGAATCTACTGACAGAAACGAGAATTGGCTCGTTTTATAGTTCATCCGTTCACCTAGCAGCCCTCTCTACATTGGACCATGGAGAGAAACGTCGGAAGCCTATCCCGACATGCATGAATAATATATCGGGGGGTTTCTCCTAACCCGAGGCGATCTACCCCAGATCCAAACCCCGTGAGGCCAAGAATTAATAATGGACATTAAGCGTGCCCCAGCGCACGTTATCTGCAGTGTTTTGTGTTTTGTGGGGTACCTATTCAATACTTCTCAACTATGGTTCTTCTACTAAGGCATGTCCTTTTGTGTCTCAAATACACACTTCAGGTACTGAACGCGGACATAGTTGCCTCGAAGCACAGCTAATCCGTCCTTGGCATTTATTTGATCCGGATAGAAGAATCAATTGTGCCGGTACTCGTTGTAAAACAGGGTGTAATTGATACCGAGGTTCGGTATTTCGCACAATGGTTGAAGCAATAGTAGACACTCTATTGCTTTGTCATGCATCTAGTGGCCAAGCCATTTCTTTCGAAACAGGCCTCTCATGTGGTAGTACATGACCAAATCCCGATAAGACCTAGCCTATTACTACATGGAGCATTCCATAGCTCCTGGCCCTGTTGTTTCATGTCATAGCTCCTCACTCGGTACGTCATCATCATAAATTCTCCAGGAATCGGAACTGTTCCACGCGTAGTTTTGGTAAGATACCTCCACAAGCCTTTCAAGTATATCCAAGTCTCATACCGACAGGCTTCATGACTAAACTAAAGACTAGGCTCCATCAATATTCTTCTAATTCGGGGATCTCCCCTGTTTTTCGAGAAATTCATGGCCATGTTTAAATTTTCTAATGAGGACATGTACATACGCATTTTAGTATCCCAATACATCAGGACAGAAATATTTAAATAATTACAGCGATAGCCATTCCTCAGAAGGATCCTGAGAATTACATGATACTCAAGCTAGGAAATATTTACTTATATGAATAAAATAATATCCTACTCGCCGACCCCCAAGAGCGCTGCTACTTGTACTTTATTTTCCAGTGATCCAACCCTTGAGTTCAATTGATCTAGTGTTCCATTAGCCCCATACATGTACATAGTCATATTTATTTTTGTTAATTCATTAATTGCATTGTACATAGTCATATGAGTGATATAGTAGCAGCTTTAACATGTACATCATCAGATACAAGGATAAACTACTTGTACCTGTGTATATAACATTGAAGAGGTACCATCCTAGCTCTTGCGCTTGTGCCAATAATCTCACAGAGAGCGTTAATATCGTTTTGCGCGGACAAGCACAAGAAATATGATCGGTCCTCAAATCATGAATACACGTATCTTGGAGAAAAACAGCTCTACTTACCGCAATCACATAAAGTTCATTTTTAGTGCCTACTACCACATGTGAACTTCGGATAAGAATTAGTATGAAAGCCGAAGCTCTCGGAGAAATCGTTTCTCATGTATAAATCAGATGTGTGTTGTTCTTGTATATACATGTATGTATTCAATTATAAATGAAATGGAATACTAAACAATCAAAGGCCTCACCTTGCCCCCTAGAACTGATCCACAGCCCATAAACGCCCACCTACCTCTATACACGTGGCTGGCACGGACGCATTGTGAATTTCAATTCACCCCGTCTCACACAGAGGCTCATAGCTTTAAATTTTACGATAATCCGGGTATACAAGCCTAGATATCCCGTTGAAGATTTAGAAGTATCAGCCGAGTGGCCCTTTGCAGAAGTATCATCTTGCACTACAAGATCTAATTAATAAAACTCACTTTTCTTGATAGATCTTGGAGATAAATCCTTCTAACAAAATTAAGCCGTCGAGCGACTTGTTCTAACCTATCTACACACCATATTTCTAGAGTACTTAGTAAGTCTGCACTCAGAGGTTTATCTCGGTAGAGAAACATTACATTAGCGAAAGGTACCCCAGTATCGTTGGTTCATAGATTATAGACATACTTTGGATCCACAAATAGGCAGGCATTTTTTCCACTTCCTCCCAGTTACTCACCTAATGTTGGTTTCACCAGCCGTGTCCTCTGACTAAACTTTTTCTGCGGAATCCGTATAAATGAGCCCAGGGAAGATTTGTAAGCTTATTCACATCACCTCTGCTGATAAGAAAAGCTATCGGTAGCGGGAGCGAGAGGAGGGATTTCCGTTGAGCGTGTGGCATGGTCGTGCGTCCAAGGGATGATAGAGGAAGAGGTTTTGCAGTGAATAGTGTTATGCTCTATATACTAGCGGCTCTGTTAGAATTGAGTGATACATGTAGTTCGCTAAAAACTATATTAGGACATCCTCGATGTTTTCGGCATACTTGCTGTTTCTAGTGGTTGGTTGGGCTAAGGGCGAACCAGATGGGATTGGAGGAATCGGGCCTGATATAGGGCTGGACGTACTTAAAGTTGTAGGTGTTGTGATTGTGATCCCCACGAAACACTCAAGGGTGATTAATATTTCGATAGATGCGTAATTGTTGTGGTAAAGTGAAGAATCATTGTATATCACTCGTAGCTAAGCTTTTTTGTATTTCCTAATATGGTATAGTGTAGTCTTGTCTAGATTGTCATATTGAACCTACTACGAAGTGCGACTCCGCTCATGTTTTCTTATCATGTATGTGCCAACATACATTGTAGCAATAGACCACGGCTGAAGTTCTCGGGCTCACGATTTGTGGCTTCTTATCCTCGAGAAATCGTGTGACCTAAACCTTTGTCACCACGGGAATGATGCACGTGGGGCCTTGTATAAACTGCTATAAATATTACCAGCTCACGGTGCTAGTAGTGGCCATTGATAATTGCATGCATGGACATGAAAGCTGAAACAGTCACTGCATGTAAGGTACAAATATGGGCATAGGAGAGGGAAGAAAGGGGGGGGAGGGGGAGGGAGTTTGCTTGAGATAAAGGGGGGGGGCTTTTAGTATGCGAAATATAGGTATATACGGATGGATAAATTCGCTGTTACCAAATTATGACTAGTACGCGTTGAACGGAATTCCATCAGCAAAGCACCATCTATAGAAAAGCCCGAATATGAAGATCTAAAGGGCTTAAAACTTCAAGCTGAAGAGAGACCGAAGGGCTCAGAAAGCTAGACCTGTGGGAAACCCAGAGGGCTCGTGAGAAGATGATCCCAGCCAAGGTCTCAAGTGAAGTTTATATAGATAATCTAGTTTTTGACCGTTTTCTGATTTAGAGTTTTTATAAAGTGGAAAGCATGGATGAAGGAAAATTAAGCATGAAAATGAACACCTCCTCCGATGTTAACGGATATCTATTGGGCATGTTAACATGGCCGTCCCCAGTCACTGCCTGTCATCCAAATCAAACTGCTCAAACGACTTTCAAGCGCCTCTATAGACTTTTCACCGTACCCTTGAAACACGCAGAAAGACACCATCTAAGACGACCTTTTCAGTCTCTCGCCAACAGTCTTGGTGACACCACCGGCAGCACCTTTGAACTCCCGGTCACCACTCAGCGTATCCCTACCGGCACCGAATCCAAGACCAACCCAGGCGGGAAAAGCGCGGCGCTTGAACAGAAGGACTGAGAAGATGATACCGAATCCGGCACCGAGGGTAGACTTCACCAAGAGATTCGCAAGGCAGTGGTCCCACTAGTTGCGCCCAATTAGCAAGATTATGAGTGTTACTGTGGATAGAGCATGTCGTACTTTCTCATTGAGCAATCCCTCTGAGGCAGGGCGGGGCTTGACAACTGTGTTGGAGGTAGTAGAGGTCATTTTTCGTCAAACTGCAGATTTTTTTTTACCAAGTCAGTTAGTTGTCAAGATAACCGAGGGAATACCCGAGGCCCAGATCGCGAGTAACAGAGATAAATTTACCCTTATACAACTATACAAATTCTGGAGGAGGAGATTCAATTTGATCTGTACTTCGGTATGGCGGAATGCGGTGACGTGGGGGGTTTTGAATGTCAAGGTAACTTATCGCACGAAGTTGGATGAAACTTGATGTTCCGAAGGCCAAGAGTTATGGTTATTAGTCATCAGAATTGCTTTGCCGGGTGGTTATGACTATGTTTTTGGATGCCAGGCGCACTGCTCATCACGCGACAAAAATAGACTTAAAATGGGTGGAACTCATACTTAACTACTCGTAATTTCATAGCGTTTGTGAACACAACTGGGTTGCATACCCGCAAAATCCTGCATGAGGCTCCAGATTTTGGTGTATGCAGACCCAGCTATGTTCACAAACGCTATGAAATTACGAGTACATGTTATCTGCATGCTCCCCTCATACTCACCTATTTAGGCCGAAGTTCAATCTCACCGGAGAATACTTCACAAGGGTACTTTCTAGTACTCGTAATTTTTTGACGTTTCCGGACTGAACTGGGTCTGCATATGGGCGAAAATCGTGCATAACAACCATATTTTGGTGGTATGCAGACCCAGTCCAGTCCGGAAACGCCAAAAAATTACGAGTAGAGGGTGCCCTAATAGTTACGGGTAGTGTGCTGAGGCGAGTGGGGGCTATATGTGGAGTAAGACGACACTGTTCTCTTTCATCTAGAGTCTCACTCATCGATCCCTATTCCATCTGCCAATTAAAATAGAGTTATTCAGGAACAATACCAAGGATGCTGCCATGCCGTTCTTAAATTTACATGCATACTCTCCCTATCTGCCGAGGTGGTGGTCATTGGTTTGAACTTTCTGTTGAGTTCACTGTACCACATCCACAATTTCAAGCCATTCAATCTTTGATGCTACACACCCGGAAAGATTCGATGCAGGTCCTCCGGTCGGTGAGTGACGACGGGAGAAAGTAAGTGTTTGATGAATCGAAATGCTTAGCAGTCTGGTATGGCCTGGCGAATAACGTTCGCACAGGCATGTGAAGTATTACAAGCTTATGCTTAGCAGAAAGAACCTGCAGAGTTAATATGCTACAAGTAGTTATAATACTTCACATGACCTTTTAGTAGCCCTCGTAAGAATCTTTCCTATTTAAAGTACGTGTCGGCCCCATGGCCCATCGATCACATATCTAGGGCGGCGAGGGTCATCTGTGCTCACTCGGCGGTTTCTACCCCACAACAGAATTAGCCAATGCAGGGCTTCCTCTAGCTACATGTAGTTCTTGGTGGCTGACATATATATTGTATCAAGATCACCTCCGCTTTTTCACGCCTGAATTAAAACCGTTATGTATTCACATTGCTCAATGGCCAAGGACTGGGCAGGAGTAATCAATTAATTGCTTTTGTAGCATTTTCTTAATCAATTGGTTGTTTAGATTTGGCAGTAAATAAAAAATAAATAAAAAATACCACTATGAATTTGAGAGATCGAGAGATACAAAGAAAATCAAATAACACCAGCAAAAGACATTAACCGCCACCGTCTGCTTGAGCAAGTCTATCGGTACCTTGCCACAGACCCCACCACCAATCAAGACCTGCTATACGTATGTGTATGTTACAAACCCCAAACTTTTAACTAGACAAATGAGAATGAATGAACGACCGCGTGCACATGTATAGCCTACAACTTTGGCTGCCCGAGTTCCTTCTCCAACTCCTCCAATCTTCGGATGGAAGCGTCTTTGCGTATTTTGGCTTTCGCCATTTGTATATCCCGTTTTTCGATATCTTTCCGCAATCTTTTGATTTCCCTTCTTCTCCGTTTCTCATCGGTGTCCTCGTTTTTTGGTTTTGGGCTGACGCTGCTTTCTCCTTCAACTTTCATCTCAGATACATCCCCTTCAGTTTCTTTGCTTCCCTCACGCTCCGGTCCAGCGGAGCGTTTGAGATCTAATGCATCATGTCTTCGTCTCCATGCGTCGAGCCAAGAATCAGTGCATGGTTTTCGGATCTCCTCCGAGTAAATTTTAGAGTTAAGCTCTTCAGCTTTAGCTTTCAACGCTTCATCGTCAATGCTTTTTCGGTCGTCGCACCCCATGAACCAATCGTGAAGCGCATTGTCCAATTCGGGATGGCTAAAATCCTCGGGATTAGATGGAGGTGGCGTTGGAGGAAGAGCATGAGGCGGGTGTGGGGGCAATGGCGGACAACCTGCTTCGAATCGAACTTCGAGCGGTGCTGGTGTCGACTTGAACTTCTTCAAGTTCCGTGAGACGGTGGATTGATTGATCGCTTTGTGAAAAGTCGACTCGAACCATTCTGCGAGCTCCCTCTGTGAATGAATTGAGAGTTAAATATAGCGAACTCTCTAGACCAGAACTTCAATGACAAACCTGTTTTAGCTGAGGATTCTTTGACGCGTGAAGGTACAGCTCGTACTTTTCGCTTGTGGTTGCTTCCTCGTGCTTCCGTTTTTTGGGCGAAGTCGCACGCTCGGGGCAGGCTGCTACGTCCATATCCATGCTCATTGTACGTTGAGGCAGTAAACAATCAAAATAAACCAATTGAAAGAATATTCAAGGCTAGTTCGGGAGATTCTTTTTGGTGAAACTTGATCTACTGGGTTGAGAAAATCATGGGGCTATGCTAGGTTATATAGGCGAGGAGGATATACGTCTAGAAATACATTTGTTGGTCAGACATAAATTATGCAGGCGGTCAGATAGGTATGGGGTTTCAGGTGCCAGTGTACATCGGCAGTTAATTGTATTAAATATGAAGTTGCTGCTCTATGTTCGTACAAGGTGCATGCATCATGCGGTTTTCCCCCAAGGGGGGAGGGAGACTCTGCTATGCATGCAACCCAGCGCCTGGGCTTGTTTTTGATTTTGATTCATGCCTTTTTTACGCACTCGGTTTTTCTCCCCTTACGCGCAAGTAGCGATCGCGAATAGATCATCAATTAATTAGTGAACCCTGTAAATGGTTGGTCCGTTTTAGTGATCACTGTCGAAACTTAGAGTAGTAGGTACACACACCCAACTATGTGTCCAGAGCATTGCTTGTGCAGTTCTTTGGTGAAGTTGAGGCCGAATTTCATGATAGACTGATATGCCAAGCAATTGTATATTGAAACCAACCAACATACAAGAGAACAAATAGATGTACGCAAATAGGTACGTGGGTGAGTAGGGGTTGCACCGTTATAGTTACTACTCTACTATCTCTACTATTTCGCCTGCTCATGATCGAACCCCCCGCTGCAGCACTTTCAGCTATCTCGAAAATGCCATATCAAACCCTCAGTCGATCATGGCGAGAGGCTCAATGGAATTAGATTTAGTAACGGCCGGCTATCGTTGTACATAAGAAGGGATCGACTGTCGACAATGCCAAAGAAAGATGAGGGTAACCATACTAAATTTAGAAACTTGTTTCTACCTAGCTGGAGAAATAGTGAGCTTGACGAAATAAGTGACACATGCACAAGTCAGTGTGTCCATAAGAACCACAGATCATGTTATGTTCACAGGATTTATTAGGACCAAAGTTCCTTGTTTCGAGTTCTAATATGCCGTAGCAGTTTGCTACCTACTTTGGTTCATGCCTTGACGACCGGTGGTTGTGAATCTTGTCAATGTGGTACATACAACATACATATACCAAAACTCAGGTATAATGGTATGATCACCATGTACTGCAAGGATTGAGAAATATCTAGCGAGCCGCTATTTCCAGTCTATCTCACAATTGCTTCTCTGTACAATGAGGTGTATTTGTATGTTAACTAACCACTTAGCAATTTCTTTTGGCATTGCAGCAAAACAGCCCTCGAGTCAAGTGCGACAGGATATGTGTGCCTGGGCCCACCTACTATAGTAATAGGGCCCCATAGCTTATTTTTTCTGCGTTTCGTTTCTTAGTACCGCCGGCTGACGATCAAGCGCCGAGCCCGTCAACGACCGTTTAAACAATAACAACAGGAACGCTTACCCCACGCCGCCGGCATATGTGTTTACTTAACCGCGTTGCTCTCCGTTACATGTATGTTTGCCGGTAGCGAAGTCCTTGATATAGACGCCTGGTGTGTAAATAAATCTGCTACATATATTGATTGATGGTATGATGAGGTACTCTAGTGGTGGTGGTGATGCTGATGACGAGAAGGGACGCATACATGTATGTTTGCAGCCTTGTTTCGACACGCGCGGGCACTGTTACGGCACCTCCCGGTAACCAGTCTATGCCGCATGCGGATCATTGTCAACGACTAGGTTCACAGGAGCACATGAAGTGCTGTTTGCTCTACATGAGTGTTCCTACTGTAAGCGTTCTATCGTCATGAGACGGTGAAGAAGAAGAGAAGACATGCAACTCCTAGACCATCAATGTAAATGCATATTACCTATCGTGCTAACTCTGTACTCTAGTAGTCTACATATGTACATTACATACATGTATGTACCTATCTAGAGTACTTTAATTACATACCGTGATGTACCTACATGTAAAATAGGTAAATTTATATGTAGCTTTGTAATTATTCAATTACTCATGCTCAGTTCTAAATTCATCGGGCATAAACCGGACTATATGGTCATCCGCATAAGCTTGCACGGGTCGAATGAGTTCTAGCTTGTGTGTTTACAAAGACTTTGTTTATGCCTGGTGATATAGAGTACACATACATGTACTCTAGTAGGGATAAAGATAGAGTAACACGAGACGTGCATGCAGAGCTGCCGCAGCCATAACCAGTAACTGTGGTTACGGAATGTGGGTATTAACTGGATTATGGGTAGTCGCTTGATGACCGGCGTAGAACACGGTCATCCATAACCCCATGGTGGTCTGGCTACATGTAGCTTGGATTCGACTGCTTCTTCTTACCTCTCTTTGTAGCATACAGCGACCGGAATGATCTATGGAAAAACAGGGGGGGGGTGAAATTGTATGGCGAAATATCTGTGCACCATATAACTGTTTTTTCCATAGATAATTCCTATCGCTGCACATGGTATCCTATTTACCTACAACTTAGGCGCGATGTTAGTACATATATGCATCTACATATACCTACATAATCCTGCCTTACAGTTTAAAGCACCAACATCGCTTCGAATAACTCTATTTATTTACCGACTAAATATATACATTGTCCATAATCCAACAAGTTCCATGTATAACACTCGATGCGCTCGCCGTCGCTCCCGGCCCTCGATCATTGCCTGCTTTCTTGCCGCACTAAACAAAATATTGGGCATGAGGAGGTTATCCCAAACTAAAAAATAAAGGAAATCTCGTACATACGGCCAAAAGCTACCATTTACGTGGCACTTCCCAAACGGTTTTCTTTTCACGATGTCTCAGGTAAACTGGTGTATCTTCTGATTGACCCGAGTGATTATATATGATCAAAGACGACGTCTTTTGTTGCCTGAGGGAATAGATGGTGCGCAACTCGGGCGAACAAGAAAGTAGGTACGATCACTCGCATGAAACCTTACATAGTAAACTGGCGTATTCCCAAAGCATCGTCACCCAAGACCACTGTATGTGCTCAATCGGCCCTTGGACTACACAGAATGAAAAGGGTGGGGTTCAAGTAAGGGATTCTGTTTTTTCACAAGTGTTTAGGCCGAGTATGATATTTTCCTCTTGGACTTAGCAAATCAGCATTTTGTGTGCTATCCTCCATATCACTCAAGGTAGTACCATGCGCTGTTTCTACTCCCGTTGTTTAACACTTGTCGTAGAATACCAAAAGACCTTCAGCCTGAGTCCTAGGCTTGTGATACCTTCATGACCCTTCTTTCTGTACATAAGGAATCATGCCTAGCTGTTTATTCCTTTAAATGCAAGTAAACCTCCTTTCCTAATTTTCCACTGGTGTACTTGGCTAAGGCTGATACGCTATCCACCGTGCAAATCGGAAACAAGAAGAGGTACCAAGCATTCCTGAGGGGTATGGAACAAAGTCACTTGTAATGACAGAAGCGCCGCGACTAAATTTCCAAGGTAAGCGTATAATCTAATGAAGAAATAATAGTTAATGAATATTTTTTAAATGGCCAGTTTGCATGTCTGCCCGCCCCCGCCCCGCCCAGATATAATTGTCTGCCGCAGCTTTCCTTTCTTTTCAATGAAGAGATAGGCAGCAGGTTCCGGATTCGGGGGCCCATCATGAGTGCCAATCTCCTATCCAACGCTGGGTCACCATTCCGTGAAGGAGCTAAATTTATTTCCAACTGAACGAGGCGGGCGAGAAGGTGGGTTTTTTTTATTCTTTTCAGTCAGGACATCCCGCAGATTTGTATGACCACTAGTGGAGAGATCGGTGGGATTCTCGATCCAATATATATCCCAGCCCCTAAAAAGAGTAGAGACTGTAAAAACGCAAGCGTTTTGTGTGGATATCTAATTCGTTTCATTCATAAACCATACCCCGCAGGAATTACCTAAAATGAGGTGGGGGAAAGAAGAAAGAAAAGATGGCTTATGAATGGACGAAGATACGGCCCAAGGAAGCTAGCTCTCACATGAGGTGTCTCGGGGAACCGGTTGAGTGGCTCGGAGAGCTGGGGTGGGGGAATATATTTGTGGTACCGACCCGGGTACTCCAAGGCGGGCGGGCGGGCTGCGTCTTTGCTGAAGAGACCTCGGTAGGCTCCGAACTAGGGATTTGGCGATTGGTGGCACGTGGATGAGCATGATGAACGTATCATAGGTTGAATAGGTATCCTGTACTCGTGGGGTAGTAGTATGTATGTAGGTAAGTGTTCGAAGGTCTGGATAACTGATGGCGTGCATGAATTTTATAGATTTCTCCCTTGATATAATATGTGTCTATGCAGCACCACCACACACTCTCACCGCTCAAGGCTGTTGAAGTAAAAGCTCACATGACAATTCCGTGAATGATTGGGCTCTGGAAGCTTTACAGGGTCAGCACTCGGCAGATAGGGAATACTAGAAGGAGATCCATAAGGCGAATGGTGAATAGTACATACCTTTGGGGGTTTGACAGGAAATTCGAGCACAGAAAGAAGCCTCGAAGAGCTATGAGAGATAGAGAAGATATACATAGGATCGAGGAATGGTGGGGGTATTAAGTTGTCTTGGGAAAAAGAAAGACAGACCCTAAATAAAACGACCCCAAGAAAATGATCACTGGCTACTAGTCGCTCGAGTAACATACATGTATGTACATATCTACTTCTGCGTATTAAACGAATACCTGTTGTAATAATATGCAGTACGGTACTTGCTCTACATCGCACCCATTTTAGGACGCACACCTTCAGACACCGCATCTCCGATTTTGCATCGCAGAGTGTGGATTTGTGGCGTGAAACCTGCTCACTCGCATGGTTTATTGATCTTGCCGCCAGGGCATGCAGAATATTCCCTGGAGGTTCAATGCTAGACCCAGTAATCCCACCACCCCACTGACTTACTGGGCTACATATGCAGCATATGAGCTTCCTCCTGCTTCTCGATACCAGTAAATTTCGAGGTACCCAGGTAGGCGATAAACGAGGATAAAACCTGCATTCATTATTCTCCTTACCTACTTTACTAGGAACTTTCGTACAGGTTCACTATCCATCCTCGCCCCTAGGGCACGACATCTCACGACTGTTGACAAGAAGACCATCCGTTTGTTGAATAATGGTCGTGTGGGAACAGGCTGTGAGTGTATGTAGCGAATTCTTGAACTCTAGCTCTGGTATGGTATATGTATGTACTTCTATGTACATAATATATACGCGCACATATATGCGTACGGGGTAGCATGGAGGGGTGTAAAAAAAAACTGACTCTTTTTAGCTCAACCAAAATCCATTCTCTATCTACAGCACCGGCAACACTCGCCTCATCTGACGGAAGGGGAACTCCCACGATCGAATATCGAGTATCTTACATGTGGATAGACCTACATCACGACGGCACAGAAAGATAGAGAGAGAGAGAGCGAGAGTGAGAGAGAGCGTTACCAGCGACAGCCGCGAAGAGGTCACAGACAAGGGAAGACCTGAAATAATAACTTGCGCACCTCTGCTTCTGCCTCTTACTCTGTTCCATTTTTCTCACTCACAGAATCATTGCTTTTTCTCCTCGCTTCCTTCTATTTGTTTCATCAGCTTGCAGATAGGGTGATCCAGTTTGGACCCATCAACATCTCAGGGAAACCAGGAGGATTATCGGTCAACTGGTTGGTTAAAGCTGGGGGGGCCGTCAGAAGAGCCTCATCCACGAATTTCCCAGTCTGTCCATCTTGTAACACACGTCGCAACCCGCTGTCACGATTCGGTGGACTCATCATAGCATCGCTCCCACCGCGAAAATATCTTGAGATCTTGGTTGCGTTGAATGGGTTGGTTACAGTCCCTCGCTGACCACAAGTAGCTCTCAAGCTACTGCCCTTCGTGACCGAGAATATTGAGCCCCACCACCTGGTCCAACCCCCCTACCTTGTGAAAGAATAAGGAACGACCTGCCAACCATCAAGATGCCGATGATGCGAGGTGTAAAGTTTGCCTGGTAAATATTTCCTCTCTTACCCTACCTTCCTCCGCTCCCGCACACCTTTCCTTTTAGTGATGACGGAGAAACTCAACCTTATGTCTACACCCAGATAGAAACGTTTGCTGATGGCCCGGAAAGCGAACCCTGCATACGGGGACATCGCTCATCAAAGTGTAATCACAGCGACCGAGTGCTGGTACAAGTTCGAAAACCAGGCCGACCGTTAAGCAGTTGCCCACACACCCTATCATCAACCTCCCCAGGTACCTTTGTCCACACCCTGCCCAATGGAGGGGAATCTGGGGGGAACAGGGCTGGAAGCTCTGCCAGGGTGAGCTGTAGCTGCGATGTCACATCTGTCGCCATACCGAAGGGTATGTACTGCTTTCTTATCCAGCGCTGTATAAACGTTGACGGTGGCGTTTAGTTGCCTCTTGCGCTTGTGGAACACCGAAGCCGCAGGAGCCCCCGCCTCCACTACCCCCGCCATCATTGGTAGCTATAAGTGCTGCTACAAGCGATTCTGGGTCGACGATAACATCGCCCATGTCACCAACATTCCCCGCGATTGTATCGGCTAGTTCGGCTAATAATGGCCCTTTAAATAAAATTGCCAAACCACAACGGCCGAAAAAAATTGGTCAAGCAAGAAAAGGGAGTGTGAATATAGGGGAGGTCGCTCTTGAACAACTACTCGAGCAAGAGAGGGAACGCAGTAGTAGTGCTGAGTCTTTAAAGATGGGAAGTACAGCTAACAGCTGCGGTGGCATGCCTGGTATATCAAGAGAGAATGGTTCTGCTGAAGGAGATTCATTGCGAGGGCTTGCAGGACTTCCGACAAGTCCTGGACATGGAGGAGATATCAATGGATTTCGTCCATCACACGATTTTTCAAACCCACAAAACGGAAATATGTTCTTGGGGGGCACAAAACCCTCAGAAAACAAACCAGACATGCCAGCGGTAACTCACAAAACCTTGTGTTCAGATGTATGGAATCCTGATGCAGGATCATCTCCTTGGCAGCTATCTCAACCTCCTGTCAAAAAGGTAGGCTGTGGAGGTTGCGGGGGGGAATCAGCACAGCAACCACAACCGCAACTACAACAGTATATACATCGTGCGCCCGCCCCGCAGAATACCCAACAAGGTCCTAGTTGTTGTAACGGCTCAAAAAAAGCGACCACAATACAGCCCCAACAAATGACTATTTCTCAAGTACCTTTCTCAGGGCATTCCTTTTTCCCTGCTCTCCAATATCCACCGTCATATATTCCGCCTACAAACTTTTCACAGGTTCCAAACATGTGGATGTATCCTACAATCAACCCTGCGATCACGCCTCAAGAATTTGCATGGTTACAACAACAAAGAGCGGCTGGCGTATTTGGACCGCAACCAACAGCACAGCTGCCTGGGCATGTGGCATTGGTGCCCTCAATGAGCAATTCCCCAGTCACCAACACCGCTTTGGCCAACGGCTGGGAACACAGCTGTCATTGTGGGCCTGAGTGTAATTGCTTGGGCTGTGCAACACATCCATTTAATCGGAGGACGGTGGAGCATGTACGGGAGATGCAGTCGTTCATGGCCGTAGACAATGGATCTCTGAGTCCGCAGTCGCACCCGAATCCTACAATCCATAACCATCCACACGGCCTTGTTCAACAGCTTTCGCACCCACAATCCCAACCAAACAGTTTCGAAGCGAATGGGATGTCGCTTTCGTCGCCTGTAGCTGGTGCACCATCGTCAGGGACATGCTGTGGAAGTAGAGGTAGCCCGGCAAAGCGGATTTCACCTACACCGGAAGAGGAGGACATAGGCCCAGACGGAAGCCCGAGTGGCACCCCGAGTGGCACCCCGAGTGGCACCCCGAGTGGCACTGACGCTGTTGATGAGCTCTCACCAAGCAATTTCCTATACTTTGATTATCCGCTCGGAATGTGCGCGCAGACTGAGGCTGGATGTAAGTGCGGCGAGGGATGCACTTGTGTTGGCTGCATCACGCACGGAGGGCATGATGGTGTAGAGTTGGAAGCCCCTGTACAGGCGCCAGAGTGGGAAGCGTGGGAGATAGAAGAAGGCACCTGAAGATGAAGACATGGAAGCAGGGTTAAAAATATTCTGCTAATAACGATATCGTATGGTGAATTTTTCAATAGAGTACGAAGGTCGTTTATCTCCGCTACTTTATATCCATCTCCTTTTTTCTTTCCTTTTTTCTTTCTTTTTGGAGGGGATTTTTTCTCTCATGCGTTTTAGCATACTTTTTACGTTGGATTCGGGGCTCAGGAGTCAGACTACGGGTAATTTTTTTTCTCTCTTCTTTTAAAAGTACTTTTGTACAGAAACAACGGAGATATCTGCGCCTATCCCATTTTAGGCTTCGGGATTAAGTAGACGAGGTATTCCTTCCTGGTAGATTATTAAGGAGGCACTTTATGTGTTATGATGTGTACTTATGACGGGACGATGATTGGTATACCCCCTGTATATAAGAAGACCATGCAGCGGCTGCCAGAGGAATCTGATGCTGTGGAGAAACGAGCATGTGCAGAGAGAGAGAATCACCAAATATCACTCGATAGTGTTTCCTCAGATCTGCAGCCCTGCTATAGCCAACCCTGCATGCGGCACTAGCACTGCCGAGAGCGGAGTGGCGGGGGGATGGGGAGTGGAGTGGCGGGGGGATGGGGAGTGGAGTGGAGGGGAGGGGTCGGAGTGGTGGTGGTTGGGGGTGGAGTGGTTGTGGGTGGAGTGGTTGTGGTGGGACCTAACCAGGATTGTGTGTATGATATCACCACCAAGAGTTCGCACATGCACTTACCCCACTGTGCTTTGCAGCCTCACTAATTACCCACACTACATGTAACTAGAGTAGTAGTACACCAACAAACAACAACGACACAAAGGCCACCGTGAGGACACAACTCTCTAGATACCCAAAGTAGAGAGAGAGAGAGAACACTCCGTCTCATATACTCCCACCAATCATCATATGCTCTCGCGCCTCTCCATAGTCTCAAACCATCTCAAGCATATTCACAGAGGGATGTCTATCTCCGCAGATCCCTTCAAGCGGCCAATCCACACGGCCGCCTGTCTAATCATTGGCGACGAAGTTCTCAACGGAAAGGTATGCACTCCGTCTACAGGCCCCTTCCTCCCCGGGCGGGGGGCATCCTAGAGACAATTAATAACAATTGCCCTCCGCACGCACAACAACAGACAGTCGACACCAACTCCCCCTACTTTTCCCGCTTCTGCTTCGACCTCGGCATCGAGCTCAAGCGCATCGAGGTCATCTCCGATGACCAAGACCAGATCATCGAGGCGGCCCGCCGCATGAGCGCAAACTACGACTTTGTCGTCACCTCCGGCGGCATCGGCCCCACGTACCCTCACCCCTCCCCCCTCCCCCCTCCCCCCTCTCTACCCCGTCATACTAACAACAACAGCCACGACGACATAACCTACTCGTCCCTCGCGGCCGCCTTCGGGCTCCCCCTGCGCCTCCACGACGAGACCTTCCGCCGCATGCGCCTCCTCTCCAAGCACAAAGTCCCCTTCGACTGGGACACGCCGTCGCCGACACGGACGGCGCGCCTGCGCATGGCGGAGCTGCCGGCCGGCGACAATGTGCGCGTCGTGTATGTGAGCGACGACACGTGGGTGCCTGTCGCTATTATCAACTACAACGTGCATGTGCTGCCGGGGGTGCCGAGCATCTTTGTGAGCCAGCTGGAGGGCATGAGGAAGCTGTTTGAGGAGGAGAAGAGGGTCGAGGGGAAGAAGCTCGTGAGGGTGCTGATTAGTACGGCGCTGCCGGAGAGTGAGGTTGCTGAGTACTTGACGGAGCTGCAGGAGAAGGTGGGGGCGAGGGGGGTCAAGGTGGGGAGTTATCCGAGGTAGGTTTTTTCTGGGGTGTGTATGTTTGGGTTTGGGGAGTGCTGACGGTGGTGGTGGGTGTGGTAGGTGGGGGAAGGACCATAATACGGTTACCCTGGTTGGAAAAGACGAGGCCTATATCGAGAGCCTGGTCAAGGAGGTGGAAGAGGGCGTTAAAGGCACCAGAATCACCGTCGAGGGCGAAGACGAGCCGGAGGAGCCTAAAGAGGAGATCAAGGATGGGAACACAGAGCAGGCAAAGGCCGCCGATGCCAAAGACGCCGAGTCAAAGTAGATTAGCACAGTGTGCGGGGGTGGACAGGTACATACTAACTATACACATTTCGAAGCCCGCAGCGCCTCTACGGAGGGTTTTATGATACTCTGCGGGTATATCGATCGCGTTGATTGCTGTAAGATAGTTTCTATAGACGGCAGTACATGTAGTTACCACCGATTCAGTTAAGTTGACGTCACACGCGATAGTCAAGTTCATGGTCCATCACTCGGGGCTGGTTATCTTATCAATCGTGATTATTGCTGTGCTGATCAGTAGCAATCAGTAGCATTCGCTCGAACCACATTCACTACAACTAAACACGACCATCTGTATTCCCGTGCACCGCTAACTGCATGAATGTGTACTTTGGTGTGGTGAATTCCTAACTTCAAATCCCTTCATTATAAACAATTAACTACTTTTCACAACATAAACATCTAAAAGCTACCAGTAAAGGCTATATACCCATCACATCATCTACTAGATGCTACATCTACAACGCAAACATAGCAGCCAGCACCATCGCCGCACCAAGAAGCACACTCCTCTCCACACCGACACTTGCAGCCGCACCCTCAAACTCCGCTAACGGCGTCGACGCCGCACCAGGTGTAGTTGTCGCGTTTCCGGAGCCAGAGCCAGAGCCGGAGCCTGAGCCTGAGCCTGAGCCTGAGCCTGAGCCAGAGCCAGTACCAGTGGTACCATTTCCAGCCGCGGCACCGCACTTGATCAGGTTCGTCGGCTTGGGCTTGCTCGGCTCCCACAGAAGGATGTCCTCAAGCCTCTTTGCGAACGTGACATTGCTCATGGTGAGGTCGACCCAGTTCTGCTTTCCGGCCGGCACGGCGCTGTCGTTCCATGTGCTTGTTCCGTTGGGCAGGATTGTGACGGCACCGCCGGTCTTGTTGTAGTGGTAGACGTCGTCGAGGCCGCGGATGGCATAGTAGATTGCCGCAGCTGCAGTCAATGTTAGTATATCTATCTCTCATAGAGTAAGTTAAAACAGGAAGAGGGTATAGACTTACGATCCCAAGACCCATCATCCTTTCCAGCACCAATGGTCGCATTCCACACAAACGCAATCGGGTTCGTGTCCGGGCTCAGCTCCGTCGCCAGCTTCGCGCCCATCCTGATGTTCCTGCCGACATAGCCGGGCACGAACGTCAGCATCTTTGGCCAGCTGTTGAGCACATGTGCGGCAAAGGTGACATTGTGGTGCGACAGATTGTACGATCTCGGCGCCGACGCATCGGCCTGGACGACGAGCTCGACAACCTTCTTCTTGATGAGCTCCCAGCCGGTGAGGCCGGAGATCGAGTCAGCGGGCGAGTCGACGAGGCGATAGAGGACGTCGAAGAAACCGATGACGGCAATGGTGACGCTGTTATCGTCGGCGGAGGCAAGGAGCTTGCGGTAGAGAAGGACCGGGTCCGTGGTGTTGGAGCCGTCTTTGATGTCCTCGGGCCATTTTTGGCCCAGGGTTTGGACCCAGCCGCCGTAGCGGGTGTAGTCAGGGTCGTAGGTCTAGGGGGAAGTTGTTAGCTTTTGATAGCGACGGGAGTGTATGCGGTTTGTGTGTGTGTGTGGGGGGGGGGGGGGGGGTCTTACGGTGTTATCGAGCGGCTTTTGGATGGCTACTTCTATGTCCGGGTGCCCGTAGAAGGTGTCGACGGCGTCAATGGCCGGAGGAGCATACCGGGAACGGATGCTCGACACAACACCAAGGATCTCAGTCTCGCCCCAGGTCTCAAAGGCGTTTGCAATGGCGAGTGCGTTCACATCGTCGGGCTACAGCACGGCAATGTCAGTACAATTGCTAGCAATGATATATAACGCAGGAAGGGAGGTTGTTACCAAGTTCCAGAAATCAGTGTCAATGATAATCTTCTTCTTCGTGCAAGTGTTGCTGGAAGTAGCGGCCAACGCCCCAACAGCGCTGGCAAGAAGGAGAGTAGGAAGAACAACCTTCATGTCTGAGATTTACTGGTAAAATATATGTGGGTTAAGATATAACGACCGACCGACGACTGAGCCTGAGAAATACAGCGGCCGACATCTCTGGTATTTGTAGTCTTCTCCGTATCTCCTTCACCACGTAGAAAGCGCTGTTGTGTTTTACTTGCACCATTGCCTTTCCGCAGGTGGTAATGACACCCGGGTCATCTCAGGTGCAGGTTGGTGGGTTCTAGAGTCCCCTTTGGTAAGAACGGCCGTGAAGTGCCGATAAGTCTCAAGTACCTTACAGACTACCACTGAGACATGTTGATAAAATATGGATAGAGTTGATCCCCACAAGGGGTAGTAGAGCATCAACCTACATACCCAGATCTACTCTACCCCTCCGCGATGCATGAGTATTTAGGCACCCCCGGTACTCGCCTCAGTTGAGCGAATCTCGGCTTCATTCTTACAGGTTAAATTTCAGCTGAACTTTTGTCATGCCGAGCCTGCTAACAGTGCAGCTTACGGGCGTATTTAGAGTGGTTAGGGTATGCACCTTTTGATACCTACTCTACAGACACGGGAGAAGAAATGTCAAGTCAAGCGATTGGTGCCTTAGACATTGTCAATGTGTGGCGGCTGACCTGTTAAGCTTCTATAAGATTCACAGTAAGAACGACCGTGCGAGTAGGGTTTAATGGATAACAGTGTGATCCGGATCCAGTTACCACACAAGTTGGCCGATTGGGCATAGCCCTGCACCACTTAGCGAAGAGGAGAACGCACAGGGCCGAGCTGAAGTTTTACTGTTACTCTTGCTCCAACTGATACTCAATCACCACCACACCGGCTATATCAAAATCAGCTACTCTACGCTGGAACAGGGTTGAAGTCTAGTTAGCGGAGGTCGGTTGTTGTTGTCAGGGACTAGGTTTTCAGGGTCCAAGGCCCAGGGCTCCTTCCTTGGCAAGACATCAGATACACAGGAATCAGGTGGCTGCCCTACTATTCCGTCCCGTTTGGAACGTGTCTGTGAAGATTTCTTTTGGTTTTGCCTGTGTTCAGAAGTCTCTCATCGCCTCAGCCATATATCCCTTCAATTTACTCTCCATCATCAAACAAAGCCTCTGTGGAAATATGTCTTCTCAGCCATCCGCGTTGCAATTGCTCGGGCGCTCTCGGTCTCACTCTAATGACCAACAGATATTCCTAAGCTCTCCGGCGATTCTGGTCGCCGACAAATCGGAATGTAGTGTAGATCTATTTCGAACCTGCATATATGCAGCGTGAATAACGCAATGCCCGCCAAGCGCTTGTACTACAATGGATTGTAGTTAGTTTAGTTATCTGCGAATCGCGAGAAAGAAACATTCAGCTTGGTGAGTGCTTTCAGGCATATGTTAGTGATGAGGACAGAATACTGACAGTTCTCAACTCCTAGTTCAACCACTTTACCACTTGTCGTCTCCTTCGGGTACACATATGGCGGGACCTGTGTTGAGCAATGTTCTCCACAAAAGTGCTGCCGCATGTAGTCCCTAGCTAAGTAGCTCTTCCCCACGAGAAAACTCTCCGGACTTTGTCTAGAGCCTTGAGACTTGATCGACAATTGCACAAACTCCATGCACATGTAGTTACGCGTGCTCATCATGTACCACGGCGGCGTGGTATACCACCGGCACAATCTCCCGACGAATGATGCATGGGGTAAGGTTTATGATTTTCCGAGTTGTTTATAGGGGAGAACCAATAAATATATTTATCGAAGGACTGAAGCGAATAATATAATGGCCTGAGCGAGGAGGAACAAGTGTGTCTTGTAGTGACAGAGAAAGAACATGTGGTCTATGGAAAAGTACAACAAGTATAATAGAACTCCTAAGAACCACATATATATAAGGCAACTGATGACATCAATTGATATCCACAGTAAGTAAGCAATTCATGACCAAAACAGAAATTAAGTTGTATTGATATACAAACCCCACTCAAGTACCCTGTCCGCCTGAAGTACATATTTACTCCCCAGGCGATGAATTAAGGCAGGGATTGACTCCAAACACCATGTAAAGCAAGGTAGCGGCCTTGGGAAGCACAGCGTAGTAATTAATAGACAATCACAAAGAGGCTAAGCACATCGAACAAGACTTGGGTACCCGTTAATTGCAGCTACTTGATCTCTTTCGGCTCCAAATCTATGGTCATGAAGTCGCCCGGCCTCGTGGACCACACCGTTAATGCCCGCACTCACCATTATCGATACTTCTGCAGCATACTTTTACCCTGATGCTTCTATTGAAGCGTTTTTACATTCTAAACGCTAGCATCCATTACTATGATTATAATGGTATATAATAGGCAGCGGGTAGAATCTCTTTATTTCCACCGATGGGACACTGATAACGGGGAATATATCGGCTAGGATGAAAGTTATACTATTTAGGGTGCGTGTATTTTTATACTTTTCTACAGACACCGCATGCAAAGTCCACGAACGTATGCCGTGGATTTTTGGATGCCACAACTTACTATTGTTACTACATTAGGCCAAGGACACGAGTGGTTTACGGTATAATATAGTCAACTACCACAAAATCTGAGGTGTTTGTTACCAAACGGCAGGGATATAGGCCAATCAGAGTCAGTCTTTGAACGTCAATCTGCAAGTTATAGTGTAGAACAATACCCCTCTCAGACTTGAGGCAGCCCCCATGACCCTTTAACGACGGCTTCTTAAGCTTGCAGTTCACTATACTGGTGCATCTTAGTCTCACTTGTTGTAGATTTAGCCCGCCATGAACTAAGTCTTCCGGCCAGTGTAAGGTTTAGCCACCTATCAAAACAGCACATTTCTCCGAAATACATGTATTCTGCACCTACATCAACCCTCGTTAAGCATATTTTGAAGCTTAACTGGCGTGATAGACCAGACCCTCGTTTGTCCAGCCAATCACTCCTTGCGCAACACGAGTCTATAAACAGCGGCGGTTTGAAACCTTACCACAACCAATGATAACCTAAACAGGTTTTTCTTGTCACGCGTGACGCCATGTGCACTTGGTTGAAGTATACGATGGAAAAGTGCAAGTTCAGCACTAATTATAGTACTTCATCTGTGGTACAACGGTGCAATACGATGCAAATGATCCACGATTTAGAGTTTTGAAAATAGAAGTTCTGCTATAGATCTAATGCCTCGATGATTGCTACGTCGTATACGGTTTCTATATAGCCTCCGCGACCTACTTGCCAAACATCAGTGCCAGCTTCACCGTATTCACAACCTACAATACTCAGCAAAAATGCAGCTTCCACAGCTCCTGTTTGTCCTGTCGCTCCTACTTCTTGGCACCAATGCTCTAAACCGGACCTTCTCTCTCACAGCCATCAACCCATCCTACCCCGCATCCACAACAAGCCCGTAATCCGCTCGTACCCCACCGATCCCTCCGTCGTCGGTGTAAGCTTCTCCCCCCCGTATGCCTCCCCGCTCAAAGCGTTCATCCACAACAACAAGCTCTACCGGTACTGTAACACCTCGCCCACCGGCGTCTGCATCGGCTACTTTCAAAAGAACCACGGCGGCGCAACGATGGGACTCCGGCTGCAGTTTTGGAGCCACGAAAATTTTCCTGCTAGCAGTCCGTGCTGCTCCGTGGAGGGTAGCTGGAGTATACAGGTGATAAATGGGATGGGGTATTTGTTGAGTAGTGGGTCTGATACGTATCAGATGTGTGAGTATGCGGGGGGGTATTCGGTGAGTACTTGATTGGCTGTCAATTTCGGGTTGGAAATTTTGCTGACTGAGTTGGGGTAGATTGAGTCGGGTAGTCCGGGAGCATGTGTTTATGGGACAAAGATTGAAGCCCTTTATGACTTTTGATGAGAATACAGGCTCTAGTAGGATCTACAGGTATTGATTTGCAAATTTCGAAAAAAGCGATGCTATGAAAATGGCCGAGAGTGTACTTATTATTTTATCTAACGAATTTCCTAACTCTTATATACACATATATAGCAAATATATGAAACCATGATATATAGTACTGATTGCCATCTCGTACGCAAGGAATATCATAGCATTGTAAATGTAAAACTATAACAGTGGTTAATAACGACGGATTAAGTTAATATCCGTTAGACAGCCTTTTCTTGCGGGATCTTATGTTGAGTCCGATGTAATCATGAGAGGTCACTCGATGTTCTCTCTGTTTCATCTGTGATTCCGTAAGGTCCCGATGAGGAGCTACCGTTACAGCGCAGGCATACAAGTCTAATGGTACCCTTATACCAAAGTGACAGCTGGTGTAGTGCCTAAAAGAAAGTGTGTAGAAGAACAAGGGAAACTAGCCCAACGGCGGAAGCGAGCAGCGGCAAAGGACGGGGGAGACAACCGAGCCACTTGAGTCGAAGAAATCCAGTGGACTATGAGATACACCCTTTAAACCCCTTGAACAGAACCAAGAGATCAACGGGGATAGAATGCTTTCACATAGGTGCCAAACAGGGTGGGCGGAGGAGTAGAGGCAATTAATATTGATCATTCACCCGCTCTTGCCCAAGGCGAGAGAGTTACGTGCCCGAAGAGGGGAGTAGAGAGATACTTGTGGATGGGGCTTTACCTTAGGTCTCTAGAAACAATAGATAAGGGATAGGATGAAATTCGAAGACGAGTAGGGCGAGGAGAGTGGGGATGGAAAGAGTAAGATACTTGTAAGAGCGTTGTACATAGGAGAACCCGAGTGGAGTGCTAGCACCGTAGACGGAAGCATCAAGCCTTGTGCGTGCGAACACACCTATCGCTGGCCGTAGGGCAAGCCACTCGCGCTCACCAAACTAGAGCACTACCACATGCGCTCATGTGGACCATCACCAACCCCCGCAGATATCTTGATTACAAAGAAACCCGTTCCACGCGTCTAGGTGAGCGGGCGCCGGTATCGTCATAGACTACGGTCTGCATACGATTAATGAATTAAACAAGAAAAAACAAGGGGCAGGCGCCGGTAGCCCACGTGTCAGGCCGAGTGATTTACTATGATTACGCCTAGTCCGCCTCCAGCCAGGTTACCGACCGCGCATGTCATGTGGGAGGCCGGCCACAAAGTATCGCTCATCCTGCCGTGGAGCGCTGTGGAAGGTAGCTAGCTCAGCTATTATGGATGGACTACGTGACTTGCCTCTGTAAAGCCAGGTAATTGCCATTGATAACACTCTCACGGTGTTGACCGGCACTAACTAAAGCGCCGGAATTACGACTTACGAGCCAATTCCTCTTACTAGAAACATTTACACGCTCTTGGTAAGAACGAATGAGTAGGGCATGCATGAGGATGAGAGGAGAACCGGTGAGGGTATGGTAATCTACTAGTTTAGGGGTACAGTAATCTCTCGCTATAAGGATACGATCGGGATCGCAATTTTGCATCCTTATAGGGAGTTGTCGCTATAGAAAGCTAAGGATTAGGTGTTGAGAAGGTTAACGGGACCCTTATAGCTCACGTTAGTCTCTCAGTCAAGCCGGCGAAAGCGGGAGCAACGCATCTCCGTGAAGAGAGCGCGATTAGAGGAGAAGTAGCTGAGGAGGTAATCCTCCGACCCCCCCGACCCGAATCCATAAAACTGGTGGGGTGGCGGTGCTTCATGAATTATCACTCTACTATCGGGGTGTAAGAAACGCACGACGCGGGTGAAAAGCTGATGACGGAGCACCACAAGGCAGTAAAGCTCAAATCGAGATAAGTAGAAATACAGAGAGAAGCACCCCCGCTTTTGTGGAAGTGCGCCCCTCCGTCCCTAAAAACAGGAACACGAGAAGAAACTCCCTTCACCCCCTCGCTAATAAGCCGGAATCGAAAGCCCATGCTGCGACGCACTCCCCGGGACCTACATTAGTGGGAAGAAAAGCGTACATTCCCACAATACAGACAGCGAAGGAGGGCAACCTCTATATATAAAAGAGTCTGCCCCTTGCTCACAACCAGAACATGAGACGAAATCGCTCGTCAGTTAAGCCAACAGAGAACGAGAATGTATAGAAATACGGGTGTCTCCCCATGGGTAAGACCTGAAGACTTCTTTACCTGTGCGGTACAGGGGTTTCAATTCCCTGACCCAGGTGCGGTATCTTAATGTGATATATATCGATGGGGATTGATTAGTTAGGGTTACTTGCATAAAGTCTCTATTCCTTCGGATTGTTGAACAAATTACAGTAATGGACTACTAGATAGCGAAAATAATAATTATAATACTCCCTTGTCTAGTCCCGGTGATGGACTACGATAGCGCCGTAATGGAAACAATTTTACGTAGGAATATTTCCCCTGGAGCTTACTGTTTTCTTGGTGGATTATATGTATATGTATATGGAATATTGGATGACGAGAATCGACGAAAAACGCTGCCTATGAGTGCACTCCTTTGCCCACGAATCTCATTGAAGATCTTTCTTATCAATCTAATCGTCGTGGTAGTAATCGACAGTATTTAGTGGGAAAGATATCTTAGAACCCACTCAAGCGCCCGGTCTGTCAACAGTACATGTACTACATGTAGTTCCGGTAGCATACATATGTATACATGTAGTTAAATAATCGAATCCTCTCGGGGCCTGTTTTTTTTTTTTTCTTTTTCTTTTTATTTATCCTTTTAGCTGCGGGAATATATAAATCATAAATCGGACTCCCCGTAAGAAATATATTCCTCGGCCAGAAGTACTTTTTTTTAAAACTTACATCCTCTCGAGCTTTTTGTGTTCTCCTAAGCCCTCCTTGTGGGTTAGGTGTAATGTATCGACGATCTCTCTGGCTCCATAATGGTATGTAGCTTGCACCATGTTAGCTTCTCGCTTGATACTTGCTTATTATATGCATCTGTAGTGTACCCAGGGTGTTGGAAAGTGGCCAAATTACCCCAAATACATGTACCTATATTTTGGCACAACGCAAAACGTTCCCTAAATTCAAACTTCAAGTGTAGGACATCTCTGTAATGCCTAAGAATACATTTAGTGTTATTTGAATGTGGAGTAACCATTCTTCAGGCAAGAGGTCACTATTAGATAGCCAAAACCAGTAGTAAAAACTCAAAAAGTATCGATGACAGACCCTCCCACCCGTTTTTCATTATGAAAGGAATCCGCACACTTAAATTGACCTCAAGATAGACTTGTGTGAAGATTACTTCTCTCATGGTTGAGATATCACCAAATGCATCATTTTCCGACATCCTGGGTACATGTATGTAGTTTCACCCTTACCCCCAATGAGCTTAAGCTTGTCTTCAATCAATGGTCAGGCCGGGAGTAGGGTTAGGTTTTAGCGAAACACTTTAAACTTAAAGTCTACTATGTACTGGAATATCATCATCCGTTGATTGTTGCAGTCTGATTGGTTGACAGCGACAGGGGTGTTTTGTAAGCACGACACATCAAATTCTGTTTCTTTGGTGCGGTTACCCTACCTGATTTGGTGCGGTTACCCTACCTGATTCGGTGCGGTTACCCTACCTGATTCGGTGCGGTTACCCTACCTGATTTGGTGCGGTTACCCTACCTGATTTGGTGCGGTTACCCTACCTGATTCGGTGCGGTTACCCTGCCTGCAGTCAGCGCGCGCGCGCGCTGCGAAAATTGAGGTGTCGCGCCGGTTGCACCGGTTGCGGAGTTGCGGAAATGCACCAAAAAAAACCCGTTTTCGACCCTGAAAATAACCCCCGGTGCGTCAAGTGGCCGGAACCCCCCTATTTTGCACCGGTGGGTCTATGGGAGCTGGGTGATAACACACACAACTCCTTGGGACCGGACTCTTTGCCAAAAATTCAATCTACTGAATAAAATCTACTGAACAAAATCTACTGAATAAAATCTACTGAATAAAATTCTATCACCACTCTAACAATCAATATATTTGATTAAATTATCTGCTCTCTAGCAAAACAAATTCTATAAAATACCGTTCCATAGTGTTATCACCCAGCTCTCTCGACAACATGTCGACGATTAAATGCACAAACTGCAAATGTTATAAGGATATCGTGGATTATGATCTCGATAGGAATGGCCGGCACCGTAAATCATGTCGACCATGTTTGGTGAGTTTCCAAATTACTCAATTATTTGAGTTCTACTGATTCTGATCTTTAATAAGGCTCGCTTGCGTGAATATACACGTCGTCGAGCAGAAGCCAGACGGCGACAAATTGCGAACAATGAAGAGGTGAGTTGGCGAATCGTTTTGAATACCATTACTTGGGGCTATTATTCTAATAGATACTATGGCGGCCATCTCGGCCGCCAATTCAACCTGCGGTACCATTAGCATTCCAATCGTCACGGGCCCGTTGGACGCCATTGGAGTTGGGTAGAATGACAGTGATTTGTCCTTCATGTCAAGCTTTACATTGGCTAAGCGAGCGCGTGCAAGGGAGCCAATCACGTTACCGCGGTTTGAAAATTGTTGCAAGAAAGGCGATGTTCAATTGCCGGCATTGGAACAAGCCCCCGAGTACCTACGGTACCTCCTCGAATCAACTGATACAATTGCTAGACAGTTCCGTAGCCGCATTAGGGAGTACAACTCCGCTTTGACCTTTACTTCCGTTAAATATACCTCAGATGAACGCATCGACCGTCAAGCTGGGGGGGTTACATGCTTCCAAATCCATGGCGAGCTATACCACCTTCAGGGGCCCCTGACTGCAGCAGCAAACGATACGCCCGCTTTTGCTCAGTTATATTTCTATGACCCACTCTATGCTGCACAAATGATGCAGCAGGGACATCCAACTCTAGATATTGCGGTTTTGGAACGGTTGACACAAGAGATACACACAGTCAATCCATTTATTCCATTATACAAGACAGCGAAGGAAAGATTGGAA